CTGACCTCAGTGTTTTCACATTGTCTTCTACGTGTTCCCACTTTCTCCTTTTCTCTTGAGGGGGGCATTGTGGTCTGCAGGTCTCATCTGTGCACAGAAAGAATTAAATCTTGCCAGGCCTGCAGATGGTCGTAGGCAGTGGCTGCAGCAGTCACGGTGTTGTATTTCAGGCCGTGCTGGGCCCCTCCCTCTGCCCGGCAGCCACTGGAAGGGCAGGCTCAGCCTGGAGCCATCAGTGCGGGCTGGGGGGAGGCTTAGTGTCAGCAAGGTGTCAGCAGCCATGGCCTGGCCCAGCCTGGGGCTGGGTCCCTGCAGCCTCCATCCCCAGCCCGGGAGCTGCTGGAGTCCAGCCCAGCCTCCCCCAGGCTGCAGGGGAGTGGGGCCGGCCCCACCAGAGCTCTGCTACCTTTTGAGGCCAGAAGCGAAGAGAGTTAGCTCACGGGCTTGTGGTTTATTAAATGTAGAATTCACAGAGGTGGATCTAATTTCTAAATGGTGCAAAATGTTGTCAGTTCTCAGAACGAGCCAGCTATTGGCCTTTCCCAGGCACAAAGGAAGCTCCCAGCAGCTTCTCTCAAAGAAATCACTTCCGTGGGTGTTTTCTTACTACTCCAAATGTCAATGTGAATCTACTACAGTCACCTAGACCATAAACCAAGGGAAAATATAAGGCTGTCAAGGCCTAAATTTCATTGTCTGAAGCTATCTGGAAATTTGTATCTTAGTGGGAAGTTAGAGATTCTCTCACTGTTTTAAGAACGTGACCCTTAGACCTCAAAAGAGCCTATTTGTTTGATTTTAGCCCATGCCTAAACCAGGACCCATACACCCTCCTGCAGTCATTAACACTTATTTGAGCTTTGGAACATTTCACATATGTTTACCATGAATTCTAAAGCACTAAACTATCACTGTTTTAAAAGCAAACAATCTACACAACAATAAAACCGAATCCTGTTATTCAAAGGTCTGGTCTAGTATGTCAAGGAAATCACAATCTTCACATCCATTCTCTAAGTGTTCAACTGAAAAATTAAAGCAAGTGGGCCAAAACTTTTCAAGAATAACTTTTTCTGTTTTATTTCCTGTGCAACATTAATGGTTTTTCAATGTCACCGCTGTTCATAAATTTCAGAACAATTTCTGGATCCAAGTTTTTAACAGATGTGGAATTGGAAAAATGTTTCATAGATTCCCCCTCTGCCCCCATCCCTTTCTGTTTTCTAAACTAGAGGGAACTGAAGTGTTTATAGCAAGAAACAGAAAGCAGCAAGGGAGATCACAAAAACAGAAGAGGCTGCTCTCAATTAAGGATCTCCCCAGAGGACTTTTGTTCCTACCAGGTGTTTAGAACTGCTCCTCTTTGCTATTCTTACTAGATTTCCTCTGAAAAAGGCACAAAATTTTTAATTTATTTTCTCCAGGCATACTAAACAGCACGTTAATGCTGAAATATAGAAACACTGAAAAAGAAAGTCTACAAGACCCCCTAGACAAGGGCCCAGTATAACAGCAGGAAACTTTGAATACAAGTTTTGGAAACTATGATATAAGTTTTAAGAACCATGTTCAGAACAAGAAGACTAAAGTAAGAGATCTGAGAGTGCTAAGATCATATGGAACCAGACTGTTACCTTCCTGCCTTCAAAACCATATACTATAGAGACTTCTGTATAACAGCTTTTACCATAAAAGCACAGATCCACGTTAGGCTTCAAGGAGGTAAAAAAAAAGGAGAGAAGATAAAATATAGACATAGAAGGTAAAAGTTATAGAAAGTAAAAACCAAAGGAGTAAAGCACCAAGAACGTCTAAATCACTTGGAAATAAAGTCTTCATGTGGACAACCTATTTCAATAATCCCATTAAAGAATGGCAATATAAAAGCACAAAAAAAAGCTTAGGTTTTTGCTCATGGAGACACAAGTAAGGAAAATGAAGACTAAATTCATTTGATGAGTTAACATTTCAGAACAAAAATGAGAAGCTGATTATTTTGGTTACTTAAGAATCACTAATTTCAGAGATCTCCCCTGATCTATAGGAAAGAGCAGTCATGGAAGTAAGAAAACTTACCAGAGAATAGGCTTGTATGGTATAAATGCTGTCCTGTATACATAAGGATGAAAATGTTCACATTTGAGACATATATAAAAGAACTGTACTACCTTCAGTTCACAATCAGCCCAGATTTTTGCTGTTTCTTAAGAATATAAATCCATACAGACATTTACTCTACCAGTGAATATGCAACACAAATATTTTATTTCATCAACAACTCTCATTTATGTAAACAGAAAACCTTTTGTACGCCTATTTTAAACAGAAAAAAATTGCTGGTATTTTGGTTTCAAGACTCTCTACTCTAGTTTCTTGTACCTCACTTTGAACAGAAATTTCCCTCTGCGTACATAGTGCATCCACAGAGCAACTAACTTCAGGTAAACACGCTACTAGTCTTTAAAGGAATGCATTCTCATATACAAATTATGTTTCCATGATAAAGACTGATACCTCATAGAAATACACTCTTCAGCATCTTACCTGCTTTGTCATTTGCCAAACACAGTCAATGAACTGCAGGAAAATGGGAGATCTGTCAGCATCTGCATGGTCATCATCTCCATGTCCCACTCTCTGGAAGTCAGAGCACACTGCATTTCAGTCTGGTGTGTCTGCAGTACCATCCCAACACTGCAAAGCTCAGGAACTCTTAAGTATGTTCCAGTAGTGAACAAGACAAGCAAGTCTTCCTGCATTCCATTAACCTGCATTTTTCAACTACTAAAAATGCATCCCAATATTCACTTATGGATATGCCTTCAGTGTTGAGCAGGGCTGGAAAGCTCTACCAGCTGCTTCCCCATCTTCTACTGCACAGCTGCTGATTTCTACCAGTGGGTGAAACTGGTGGCAGGAATTTATTAAGACTGAAAAAATGGTTATTCCATATCCACCTGTCATAACTACGTTCTATTTCTACCAAATCATCTTAAGAGTCAGAGCCCTTTTGGCACTTTTTTGTTATGACAGAATGTCATAATTTATTCTAGTACCCCATTAGCCCATGTGTTAAACACTTCAACCTTAAATCAGGGTAATAACTCCAACCATTTTAACTTTAGAAACCCTACTTGTTTTCCTTGGTTCTATATTCATAAACTGCATAAGTTACAATTCCTCATTCTCATGGAAAAACCACGTGACTTTTTTTCACCATTGCATTCAAACCACTTCATTTTCATTTATTTTATTATTATATGTCACATAGAGGTTTCCTGTTAAAAATGAATGGGTCACAGTTCTCTAACACACTCAGATAATTAAAAGGACACTGGAGACAATAACTAAAATGCAGCAGAGTACTGTGAAAAAAAGTGTTATTCAAAGTAAAAGCCCTGAAGGTGAAAAATGGCACACTAAATTTTCCAGCTTACCATTGCAAATCGATGTCCAAAACTTATCCATTCTTTCTCTACAAGTACTTCAAAGCCCTTGATGGTTCTGTAATAGCTGTCCAGCATAAGCATGGCCAGTGCAGTGAGCTGTGCAGTTCGATCCCAGCCATCACTGCAGTGCACCACTACAGATGTTTTACCAGATTCAATTTTATCTGCAATTCTTACTGCTCCAGCAAGAAGCATCTGAAACAAAAATGAAGAAATCAGAGTATTAAATACTAACAAAATTCTACCAAAAAAAAAGGTTAAGATTTTATACTCTTTAATTCATTATGTTTTAAAATTTCAGTTTAATTACATAATTATACTGATGACAATGTTTTAAATTAGAGATTTTCAAACAGTGGTATCCATATTCCTAGAGGTACAAAGACTGTGTGCACTCTGTTGTCCAGGACAGAGTTCTTACCAGATGTCCATTACTAGCAGCACATAACAAATGAACCTGGGAATCCCTTCTCTAAATTAATTTATATTTGTATTATGATAAGACCCAAATACTGTAATTTATTCCAAAGGCTGAAGTTTCGAGCTTTTCAAAAATTCACACTAATCAATCACTTTTTTGCTGCATTTTCAGCTCAACTGAAACTACTGAGTTTAGATAAAGGGACAAGTCATCCAACTAATTTGTATCAAAATTCAACCCAAACAAACCCAGAAACCCCTGGCTGGGAACCTGTTCTAATTTGTTGCTGCATGAACTATACATTGTATTCAGCTTCTGAGCTGACCATCAACAACCTGAATTCAGGAGCAATGCAGGAGAGCACAGGACAGAGATGGCACAGGACTGAGGTCACCTGTGTGAACTTGTTACTCTTCATCCCTCTCAAACTCCCACCTCTTTTGTTCCCTGATTCCACCCTCTAGTTTTTTAAAAAACTTAAATAATCTCTCTCCTGTGTAGACTTGTCTCTAACATGACCTACCATTTCACTGAAATATACGTGGAGAAAAAAAACACTAGAAAAGGGACCACAGAAGAATTCCTATACTGCATTCCAACATCAGAAAACGGAATCTTGCAAAATATTTGCACTTTTCTCTTCCTAGGCATGCAAAATCATCTTCTGGGAAGTAGGAAAGCCAGCATCTGCTGGAGAAGCTATGAACAAAACCAGTCTTCAAACATATTTCAAGAACCATGTTTTAGAGACAGTTTTCATTGATTCTGTCTTTCATTAAGCGTATCTTTTATGATAGAACTGAAGGATGCCAGAGGGGAAATATCAAGAAACAATACAAAAGTATCTATGAGAGAACAGAGTTTGTGGTCTGGACTAGTGTCTATGAGAGAACAGAGTTTGTGGTCTGGATTAGTTAAATGACGATTATTTCAGTTAGAAAGATCAACTGCATTAATATTGAAACCGTTTGGTGTTCAATAAAAGCAGAAAACTAATCTATTTAACATACAGGTATGCAATAGCTTGCTTTAAAGAGAACACAAATTTCTCTGAAGGAAAACAGCTGGAAATAAACAACAGAAGAGGTACAGAAAATTAGCAGAGAATGGGAGACAGAAAACACATTTACTATTAATTCAGCAAACACCTATGGAGTATGTGAAGCACTTTATTTCACTTCAAACAGCCTTCAGAAAGCCACTTCCTCTACAAATTTAATATTTTTTACAAATTTTTCAAAACTTGGTAACCATCACAGTATTTCAGTTAGGGCTCCTAATGAATAACTGGTTTTGGATTAGTTTACAAAATGAGAATTGAAAAATAGTTAATGGTACAAGTTCTACCCTCAGACAGAAAATAGTCTGGGTATGCAATAAGCACGAAGTGCCTCTACTCATGTTGTTACTACTGTCTTCACACATGGAGTTACTGGTGCCTTCACAGATACTCCTAGACCATCTCTGAAGCATTGTGGATGCCAGGGGTTGGAAGGAGAATTTCCAGTAATGCATTGCATTAAACTGGAACACAGCCACACTGGTTTGAGCCCAAAAAACAGCAGATGTGTTAAAGAGTAAAGCTATGGCTTGTTAGTGCTATTACAAGCCAAATCAAAAGGCAAAGAACTCTTGGAAAAAAAATATCAGAGAGATACTATCAACACTGTTATCACAATTATGTTAGGTTTCAAGAAATCAGCCTGAAATTCCTGTTGTCAGTACAGTTAAAGTGAAGTAGCATGTAAGGGACACATCAGTGAAGAATGTCAAACATGTCAATTCTTCAAAATAATTTAAATTAAATTTCCAATTACTATGCTGTTGTCACCTGGTGCTATCAAAGTTCAGTCCTGACACTGTCTAATCCAGGAACCCCACCAGAGTCAGTGGCAATGAAAGGTGACCACAGGCACAAAACAGATGACAGTAAAAGGCCAGGCTGATAAGAAAACGTTTCCAGATACTTAGAATCCCAAAGCTGTTTCAATGGTTCAAATTCAAGAGAATAAGAAAATTAAACTGTTCTCAAAATATCATTAAATTTGACTCTTAATTTCACGTTTGCTCCCTCTACTGGCTCTGCTGCAGTTGTCAGCAGGCACTGCTTAAAAGAGAGTCAAACTAATTTACGATCGCAAACATGTTTTGCATGAGTGACATTTTAACCAGCTGCTAATAAAACAAATTACACTCCATCCATATTATTCATAAACAGAGGATTGAATGTGGTAATGAAATAATCTACTCTAAAATAATTTCAAAGGTTAGTGAAACTGACTGTAAAACCAAATGTGGTAGTGATTTATTTTAATATTATGTTAAATAACCAGGCAGATGATAACCTGGTATCACTGGCTAAGAACAGCTCATAAAAATGTAGGTGCCCATCACAATAACTGTAACACATCACTGAAGGAGAGAAGGATGACACAGACTGCAGAATTCACAGTCAAGTCCTTTTGACAGTCACTCAAATATAATCTGAAGTTCCCAGTACATTCTTCCAAACAAGAGGGATAATGCTGGACTGTCCACCAGCATTCTTTCTCGAGAAAATAAAACACAGCAGTTAATATGATACTGTGTTATCAATAATAAATTCACAATCTGCCAGTACATAAAACTAGAAATACGAAGTTATTACAGAATGCTTAAAATGCTGTGTTCTAAGTGACTATTTAAAAATGATACTTTTTCACAAGATTATTCTGATTAAAGCAACATGCTTGAGTTTCAACATTATTTGAGCAATATTTTCAGAAGTGTAAGTTAAAAACATGGTTTAAAAAAGTAATTAACTTTTCACATCAAAAGCACTTTACCCTTATATATTCCAGCCAGTGTGTGGAGTCCACGTTTGACAGCCACCGAGTCTCATCAATAGTAGGATAAACAATTTCTTTAAGTTTCCGCAGGGATTCTCTCATGACATGTATATTATGAATCTCCAGAAAGACCAGCTCTGCATTTGGGTAGGCACTTTCGCTTTCATATCCTCCACCTTTAGCCTATCATTCAAAAGGCAAAAACAGACAATAAGAAGAACATGTATAGGACTTCAGTATAAGGCAGAAAGAGTTACTTTACCTAAGTTTCAGCATTTTCTTAGGGAAGGGATTATTTCAGTGCTAATAAAATAATATTTTAGGCTTTTGTTTTTCTAAAAAAGATTGAGGTTTTTTTAGGTGAAAGAAATTCTGATTGTAACAAGCTACATTTGATAATACATCCATACACCTTTTCTTTTTTATCAATTAAAGCTTTGGTCTTCTGTGAGCTTTACTGCATAATTTCTCAGCTATATCTTCATGCTATCCTTGATTCCTGCCAGCTGTTCGAAAATGTTACAAGCAACTTACCTTCCTTCCCCTGCCCTCTTTAGGGACCCCTTCTTATCTCTTTTCAACATGAGATTCTCCACATCCTGATATCTGGCTCAAGCTTCAGCCCTGTAATAAGGCTGATGAATTAATACCAGTGATGATACAAACCTACCTTGTTTGTGTCTGCAACACTATTCTGCCTGGCATCAAAGATGATAAGTTTATGTGACTGAGCATTGGCATCCATAATTGTCTGCAAATATTTTTCATCTTCCTTGCAACGCTTATCATTTGGGCCAACTGATGGCTGGCTGCATCGTGTTATTGTTGCTTGACTCTCAGGATGAATCCAGGACAACACCTGGAATGAAAGAAAACTATTTAATTTACTACACTACTATAAAAGCAGCAGGCCAGAGAACAACTAGACAATCACATTGCCTATTTGTCATTATTTCCTGGCAAATCAACAAATGCGAGTTTAAGGACAGACTGATGCAAAAACATGTTGACAGCACACTAGCACTGACTGCTCATCCCCAATCTGAACCTGAAATACAGAGTGATTCTAAACACCTTTTATTTACAATAGCAACTAAGCCTGTATTATTCTAATTGGAAAAAACAAAAGGGCAATGGAAGAATAAAACCTGCTTCCATGTGGAAGACTATGGATCTGTACACTACCTTGCTAAGCAGGAAAACCAACACAATCTAACATTTTTAAAGGTGTTCTAATGAGACTTTGTCTATTCTCAGGCAAAGCACTATGGCTATGACACATTCACTCCAAATCAGAGCACAAGCTAATACATGCCAGAGTATCAGATACCATTGTGGCCTAGAAGTGCTAATCCAAACAAAAAACTTACTACATAGTACAATAATTGTGCAATTAAACTCATACTTGAGTTGCTCCCTTCAGTTCTAAACCCACTGAGCCTACTTCTTTCTTTGCCCCCCACTCCATCAGGAAGGAAGCCATCCCACTGTTACTTAAAAAACAAAGCCTAAAAAAACATTAATAATTTCTTAAAAGCTACAAATTTCTAAAATACTTATATTCTCTTGTACAAATTTCACTTACAGGAATTCTCCCTTTTGCTCTAAATGCTGCCACTTTTGAGAGGTCATCGTCCTTTACACTGGTTGGCACAACAAGAACAGCAGGATATGTATCACAAAGCTCATAGGTGCTGTTAATTTTGGATATTTTCCAACTCTCATTGGGCAAGCCCTGTATGAAAATAATACAATTTTGGATTTTTAAGGTTAGACCTTTACATATCTGACTTTGAGGCAATGAAAAATTTTATGTGCTGCATACTTCTAAAAAAAAGGCATGCCCACTTTTTTTTTTTTAAAAATAAGCTATAAACTTAAGGTCTTCATACTGAATCATAAATCAATGGAAGTCTTTCCTACTAAAGTGATAAGGAAAATAACCGTGAAGAAAATGTAGATTTAAAATTACAAACTACAGTTACTTCTCTGTTTGGTGATGCTTATTCAAATCAAATTTTTTATAAAGCTTTGTAGAAGCTTTATAAAAAAAAACAGCACTTGAAAAATGTGGATTTCAGAACCATGTTAAATTAGACTAATTTTCTCAAGTACTCAGTACCTGTATCTCCACCAACTTTAGCAGGTGCTCAACGCAATCAAACTCAGACCACTTGCATTTTATCTAAACATGAGATGTAGACAATCTATGTAGTAAGAGCTGAAAATTATGAGTTTTCTGTAACATTTTTTCCTTGTTTAAGTGGCACTGGGGGAGACGGAGGAAAAAAAATACCAAGTATAGAATACCAAGTATTCTATAACTTACCTGCCTCTTATATTCTGCCATTGGATCATACACTTTCCAGCCATTAACAGCAAACTTTTCTTTGTAGCTGAATGCAAAAAGAGGCTACAAACAACAAAGCAAAATCATAAATTACCATCTGAAAGGTTTTATGCATGGTAACTCCAAAATAGTCAATAGTCCAGTATTTCAAATCTAACACTTCTAAAACTCTTGAACAGCAGACATAACACCTTCAGTCAAGACGGGAAAACATAGAGCTAGAAAGAAGATAGTTTTTCCCATGAAGCGTGAGTTTAAAGTTAACAAAATCAAGACAGGAAACAGAAGTTGCTTGCTTCTGATCACACAACTCATCAATGGCAATACCAAGATGAGAAAATTGGTTTCCTACCTCCCAACCAGCTCCTTACCCACATAAGCAAATGAAATAGAATTCTGCAGATAACTAATAACAAGACTAATTCTACTTATTTGTTGTATTAGATAGAACTTCTAGACTGAAATACCTTCTGCAGAAAATAAGAGTCAATACATATATATTTTTAATCAGCAACATTAGGCAAAGGGATATGTATATGTATATCTATTAGATCTCAAGGGTTATATATAAACTAACTTCACCAATAGCAAGACACAGCAGTGTTTGATGAATTAATGCAAAAAAGCACACAAGTTCAGAGTGGCTGGCCCGATCTACAACAGATTTTATGAATCAACACTTCAAAGTTTGTTATGCAGCCTTTGTATTTCCTCCCCTACACTTTCCCAAAAGTGGAGAGCCAGTAACAGCCTCTTCTCCATCGTAAAGACTTACCAGCCCATTAGAAACAGGAAATGCACGTGTTACAAGGTTTTCAAAGATCTCCAGTCTGTTCTGCTCCTCCTGTTTATAGGCAAGCCGCAAATTTCTCATATCCTGTCAAAAATAAGTTACAGTTTTACTCTATGATAAATTTAAAAAAAGAAGAAACTGTTATAAGGTATTTGATTGAATGAAGGCATCTATAGAACACCAAGTCACTGACATCATCTAACTCCCAAAAGAACAGAGTTCTGTAAGCATTCATATGAGATAATTAGGACTGTCATTAGAGATGCTTGATATAAAAATCATCACTTTTCCTTTGAATTCACTCTTCAGACAAAAGGCAGAAGTGTTTAAGACTGCAAGTATCGAAGAGGAATTGAAAGAAATGAAGCATGATTCAAATACAGGGAACTGATCAGACAGAAAAACAGCACATGGACTGGCAGATTCCTCTTACAGAAAAATGAAATTAAAATGCTTTAATATCAATAAATCTCTACCATGCCTTACCTTGCAAACTATTTCTATACCACATGAATTGTCTCCATGGCTCTGTACTCCAATTTTTTCAACCCTACTTATAACTCCAAGGGGAACATCAACAACAAAAGGTGGATCCTGAAATTTGCATATAAAACAAATGGATTTTATTACATTAGAAGAAATACAAATTAATATTATTCATGCATGTTTCAATAGAGCCAACAGTAACTCCGGTTTAGTAGACTGCTGTGAAACATCACACTTCACTGAATTTGTCACTTTCTGAAATCTACTTCAGCAACATGCCTATCTGAAACAACAGGCAGATAGATAGTGAAGTCTTACCCTCTCAGCACTTTTGATAAACATTCTGAAGTCCGTCACTGTGAGCGTACCGCTGACTGCTCCCATAAATGGGCAGATATACATAACATCCTTAGCTGGAAAACAGATCAATTAAAGCTTTATTTTACTATTATAGACATTCTATTTTCATTTGAAACTCATAAGATTTTGATGCTTGACCTCTTTAGGAAAGTTTATTATTGCAGAGTTGTCTTTATCTCAAAAATGAAAGCAATAAACACCTGGGGCAGAGCTGGAGCAAGGGCAGACAGGTCCCCAGCACCTGCATGTACCCTCAGATGCAGGCAGCTCTGGTCCCTGCACTGAGATGCAGAGAACCCACACTCTCCTCAGAGACAGAGCATCCAATGAGGCAAGTAATGATCCACATGCACCCAATCTCCAAGGAATTCAGTTCTATGCTAATATCTTTGTTTTCACTATTATTTGCTGGTATTCTTTCCTACCCACATACTGCACTGCTAACAAAGAGCTTGCTGTCTCGTGCCAAAGTGAAATAAATCCCACTAAGAACTGGAAAGTAAGTTTACCATACTTCATCTTTTTTTGCTCTAAGAATTTTGAATCTATGACATATCCTTGGCACCCCTAGGCAGAAATACAGTACATACACCTCCATGGAACAAAAAAACCTTAGGAAAAGTAAAACTGTCTATATGGAGGAAGTCATCCTCTGGATCTGATTTATCCTTCCTACACTTGGATTTAAAAGACAAAGAAAAGAAATCCACATCTAATAAGCTAATCTTAAGTGGCATTAAATAAAATAACAAAAGTAAAAAGGAAATAATATTCTGTTTTTAAATTAACTAGCAATTTAATAGTGTTCAGTGCAGTACTCAGTAGTACACTTACCGATAACTTTGATTGATTCTCCAGGAAAAAGTGGAGCCTCTTCCATCTGTGCCAGTTTGTTTCCATCCCGCAGTGCCTGGCAAAAATCCAAAATCATGAGTAAATCTCATTCTTCATCTGTACACATCGATATATTTTGATGTAAAGTGCTTTTTTTACCGGATTACTGGAACACAAGAAGTGTGTCTTTTTTAAAAATCACACAACTGTACTAAACTTTTACCACAGTAAAAGAAAAAACAAACAAACAAACACAAAAATTAGTACTATAAACATAACACACATATTATATATGTTATAAATATAACATACATGTTAGTAACATATTAGTAACGAAGCATTTATGCAACAATTAGTTTCACATGCTAGCTATATATAGCATACAAAAATCTGAACAATAAGATCAGCCCAAATTAGTAATAAATAATTTGTTAGTGTTTTGCTGAAAGCAAGTATTATTCAGGGCATTTTATCTGAGAACATTTTAAAGCTCTTTTCTTTTTTAAATTCTAATGCTGCTTTTTTAATATTTGAGCATTTTCACCTGAGAGAATTATATGGCAGAAACTTCATTTATTTAACATTTTAGCTTTGTGATTTTGATAGCAAGAAGCACCCCACAATGCTCTACTTCAATCAATATCATACTGAGAGTGCCACAGGTTACAGAATAGGTCCACTATAGGAATTTTGGATCCAGATTGTCAGATTAAGAATGAAGTAATAACAAAATATAGAAGAACAATTAGCAATTTAAAAATAAGAGTTAGTTTAATACATTTTCACTGTGGTAAATGGCTTCATTGCTGAATGATACATGATGGATTCTTTGGGTCCTTTGTTGGCAGCTAAGATTTACTAATTTAAATTAGTAATTAAATAAGATTTAATGTACTAAAGATTGCAATAAAGCATAAAGCATGAAACCGTTTGTGGTACTGTTAAGGACCATGTAAGAAAGTGATCTGTCTCAGGTCAAAATAATGAGATTAGGGTTTCAAATTTTTACATCCTGAATAAATATAATGGGCTATCTTGTTAGAACAAACAATTAACCCTCCCCTTGTATTGCAGCTCTGACCCACACAGAAGTAATTGGTAGGGTCTGCTTCCAGACTACCTCAAGCTCTCACTAATATGTAATCTCTAAAAATATTTCAGCTGATCTCTGGTTTCAGATTTCCTTGGAAACTTTTGGAATTTTATGTTCAATCACAAAAAATAATGTGCAGAGTAATAGCCAGTGCTTACAAACGGAGAGTGGATGTGCTCTGTTAGACAGGGCTTATGCTCATTACATTATGCTTATTACATTTTAGACTGCAAGACCTTACAAGAAAACTCCACCTGCCACATAACCAGTTACACACTAAATGCTTTCTAGGGCTTCTCTTGCATGAGAAAAGTAAGATTTGTATGCACTGTATGAGTACTAATTTATAGTACCTTGCTACATATTTAATGAATGAAAGATGAGTAAAACTTGCCACCTGATCAGGTTCTGCTTCAGAATGATAGCCATTGTGTCCATCCTGAATCTCCTGCTTTGCATGAGGCAGCAGTAGGGCAAGAGAGAAGTAACAGCAAAAAAATTGCAGACAACAGGTGAAAGGACAGAATCTTAGCTTTTTTTTGTTTTCCTTTTTAAAATTTCCTTAAAAAGACAGCATATATTTTAACACCAGTTTAGCTTTCCAAAATCTTACTCCTGGCACATGCTACTTTCCACAGAAGAGAATCCAAGCTATTAGCACCATGCTTTGAATGTTACTTGGCACATTACAAAATGAAAAATTTACTCCCTGTTTCAAAAAAGAATCAGTACTGGTAGATAAGAACATAAAAGTATGTACTGTCTTTTTAAGACAAATAACCTTACAATGAAGAAAATTAATTTCAAGTATGCCACATGCTTACCAATAGAAGAAATTAAGTACAACTTGCAATGGCAGCATTATGGGAAAACTCATGCAATCTTTCACAGGAAAAAATAGGTCAACATCAAATAGAAGTACCTAGACACTTAAAAAAAGTTTTGCTGTGTAAAATACATTGTAATTGAACTCTCAACCTCATAGTTTTATATATCTTTCCGGCAACTTCTCTGTTGTTGCTTGAAACTTTATTCTTGCAGAGTTGTCATACAGAGTTGTAACTTTACAGAATCTAAAATTGCTACTCATAGCAAAATATGCAAACAGTTCACATTTTCATGTTAATTTATTTTTTCATCAATTGGCAGCAAATCCTGAACATTAATTAAATTTCTTTAATAAACATAAAGTCCTTTTGCACACCAGAGAGAAACACAAATGTCATCGGGTCAGTTGAAGGGATTGTTTTAACACGATCCGCCAAAAAGGTTCTTCCATCTTCTTTCTTTAACAGGAGAGAAGTTGTGCTCATGACAGTTTATTACTCCCAGTTCAAATGCAAAGAACTTCTCACTTGCTCAGACTGTAAAATCAGCCTCAGTCCAAATTTACAAGTGTTTGTTAGATGTCATTTTTTCTTTTTACAGTATTTTTAGAGAACCCTCAAGAAACAGCTTAGAAGAAGGACTTCAGGTATCTTCAAATAATTTGAACTCTACATGAGTTTAAAAAGTTATAAGTAATTAAAAAACCCCTTCAAGTTAAAAAGGACTACTAACATTTAGATATGGTTAGAATTCTGTTATACAGGAATTATTTATATTTCAGATCATAATTATGTTGTTTCTGAAATCTAAGAAAAGTAGACATTGTGATCTCTGGAAGAAAACTAGCAGGACAATGAGCAAATGCAGCAAAATAAATTAAATATATAAAAGATAAGGAAGCAGAGCAAACCATTCAAATATCAAAGCCTTTATAAAGAACTGAACAACTGAACAAAACCAGTTTCTGTTACTCAACTCAGACCAATTATTTGAAACATTATCTATTCAAAAGAAAAAAGAAAAGATCAACTTGTGGATTTGTATGGTTGGACTAAACACATCATATTTAAATACGTAAACAACAGACGAGAAAAAGAAATCATTCAGACTTCATCTCTTGGTTTCAGACTGAACAAGAGGTCTTTGTTTGAATAAAAGTGTTGGACACATTTCATGAACAATGTCAGAACACTATCCAGATCATTTCTCACTCCATAAATGTTACTGAGGGAGGGGCAAGTAAACAAGGCATGCCCTTTTTAATCTTCAATGAACAGTAGTCAAATCCCTAGTCTCAAAATTATAATTAAAAAGATGTAGGTTGCACTAGTGCCTAACTTCAAACCTAACTTTCAATCTTATTGCACCTTGGTAACAACTAATTTAAAACAAGTACAAGGGCATGCACGAAATTTGGAGCTTATTTAAATAGGACAGATGCAGATGTAACACTTTTACCACTGGTATTCTTTAGCATAGATATGTTAGAGCTGCTAACACAGTACTCAGCAGTCTGAAGCACGTAAATCTGAATTGCAAGCATCCATTTTGTCAAAATGTAATAAAACTGAAGTTAGTATTGCACATTCATAACATAATTTTAAAATATTACTCTCTTACATACTGACTTTTATTGCTCATGAAAACATTGTATTGTATATAAAGCATTTCTGTGGCAACTGCATAGCAAAACGGTCTGGTTCATAAAACCCATTAATGAGGTAAAGAATGCTTGACACACCAAGATCTCACACAGCACAAGAGACACACAGGTAGGAGGCTGTTCACTGCTAGCCAAAGGTAATCTTACCCGTATAACTGGCCTCCTGTACACCTGTTAGTTAAAATACAAAATGTTATCCAATGAAACACAGATTTGATTTGTTAAAGATACTATATCTTATTTCACCAGATTTTCAAAAGAACTCTACTCCTAAACATCTTAATTATAGCTGGATTTTGAAAGAGCAAAACAAAACTACTCAGAACTAGTAGCTCTCATTTACAGAATTGTTTTGGTCTGAAAAAAATCACAGACACTTCATTATAGTAATGTAACAAATTCCAAGCTCTTTGGAAACATTCATTCCTAATCACCCTTTTATCCTGCTGCACTGTGCTATTGTTAAATGAGAAGAAAGAGCCTTGTAATCCCTCTAGGTGGAAGACAATAAGCCTGCACTAACAACCATGAAGGAGAGGCACCAGACCTTTCAGAAAAAGACAACTCTTCCCAAATTCTGAGTGTTTGTAGTCAGCAACTACAATCTGAGACATTTTCATTTATATGAGCCCCTCATTCAAGAACACTCTGCACAGAGCATGTGTCAGAGAAGACACACAGAGCAGAGCTCAACTCAGACTGAGATCACGTTGCTGTAGGGTTTAGCAAGCAAGACCTCCCCTGTGTTCTCCAGTTCTAACCATTCCATTAACTTCCCCTTTGCTTCCTAACTCCCTGGTAGGGAAAGTCATATAAAAGTAATCTCAGTAACGCTTTTAGATATGTGAATCAATATATTTACCTGGTTTTGGAAACATATTAATTTAAACAATAAAAAAGGGATGAAAGAATAAGTAGTGAGTTCCTGGTAAACCCAGCACAAACTAACAGGACTGCCTGACCAGTTCCAGAAGCAAGCACACATCTGAACAGATCTGAAGGTTCTGAGTTGTAAGATAGTCTCTAAATGCAGCAATTCCAGATAACCAAAGGTAATGAAGACGAGTTATCTTATGGGCATTGTCTTTTAATGTGTGGATTCCACAACAATAATGAGTGAACCCAACCTGTTAGTGGTACTGAAATTAATTAAGAAACTAAAAATTCCATCATGCTATATACAAATATGGGATTTCAAATCACAGCAATTATGCCGAATACAATTTATCCACAAAAGTTCTTAATTTAAACCATCAGACTTAAATCCTTTTAGTTTATTTCTCAGAAATGAAAGATGAAGTAGAATTTTAATTAGGCCTTAAAAGATTTATTCCTCTTAAATAATATCTGAGATGAGTTTGGTATAGAGATGGAAGTTATATTGTGTATCCAAAATTAAACAGTGCTCTTCATTCCAGAGGAATGCATTCTACTCAGAGATAAACTCAACACCAGGTTTACACACTTGGATTTTACTAAAATGAAATCCTTGGCAAATACAACATCAACAGATGTAATGCAAAGTTTCCCATTGTGTTTTACCAAAAATGTTGGCCTTGACCTGGAGCAAACATTTGCAACGGAGCTGCTGTAGTATGGGAGAGCTACTCTTTACAAACTGCTGATTGTGCCAACAGTGTGAAACTCTGTTGAGGTTGAACTTTTAAATACACTACAGTCAAAAACATTTTGTGGACTCATCTCAGACTCAGGCTGAATCTGACCTGTTGTCACTCAATCTAAAATACACTGTTTCCAGACAACATACTTTGTAACCACAGAGCACACATAAATTAAAATCTAGTTGAAACAAGAAAAGGAGGTAAAAATCTTCCTTTGGCTATTCTCTATGAAGACAATAAAATTCTTACAAATCTAGGAAGAAAAAGGGATCTAGACAGCAGCAAGTTGGACTTCTTAAAGTGAATTGAAACATGGATAACTTCTGTCACGTGAGAGGAGAAAAAATGCCCATGCTCCATTCTTGACAGCTGAGTAGAGTGGCTGCATGAAGGGAACAGCCAGTTAGCTAGTGAAAGAGCAGGGGCACAAAAGCACAGTGGAACTCAGGGAAACCATACGGTGCATTCATTACCTTAGTGACAAAAAAGTTGCTGGGAGGGAATGAAAAAGGTGACTTGTTTGTTTGTTTGATGTTAAATTCTGTGTCTCTGGAGAAACCCCATCAAAAATGATACTCAGTTAAGTTCCCTGCACAGTAACAAAGACATTAATTTATTTTTTTTGTGAAATATGATGGGCTCAATTCTGTACTCTGGATAATATACACTAGAAACCATTTCAACCTGTAATTATAATCTACTTTACCAATTATTTTATATAGCAATCAAAAGAAAAGACAACTCACTCTTGATATTTTATTCAAAACATAGAGTTTTAAAATTTCCTTTCACTTCTTAGTAATTTTTATTCTGTAGACTTCAGTGGCACTATTCTAAATCTCAAGTCACTTACCCTGTAGTCTTTGGCTACACCCTCTGAAGGGACAGACCCTGAAATCTGACTTGAAATGGTTGCAGCTATCAGTTGTTTACACCATTCCACGTGGGATCCAGTCGGGCTACAAAACCAGAAATTTCAAATTATTTAGCAGTAATTCAAAATGTGTATTTTGAACAGCACAGCAACTGAACAGATCCAGAAAGCAACACTGCAAGTGATTACTAACATCATAAAACTTAGTTTGCTTTGTGGGCAGAATGCAACTATTTTACTGATCAAATTAGGAAAAAGAATTTTACTAGATCATGTCAGAGACAGAGCCGTCACGAGGTTAAGATCCTAGAAAATTTAAAAATGTTCTGCTCCTTATCCAGATTAATTTTTACTATTCACACTCTTTTTTCTTAAAGCCATCCATGGAACAAGTTTGGCCAAATAATAGGAATCTCCTTATACTGTCCTTATTAATATGATCTGATTATTCTCTAAATTCTCAAAATTAAATTACTTCATGCTAGTATTAAAAAATTTAATCTATGCTAATGTTGTATTCTATATTAAATGTTGAAAATATATGTTCTCTAAAGGATAACTTCTAGAGACCTGCATTTTTTTCCAGTTCATTAAATAAACCCTGAATAATTTTTAGGGCACTTTCCCCTGCTACAGCACTGAATTGTACAGTGTAGGGTGTTTACAAGAACCTTAAAGCATCTGAATTGCACTAAACCCCACTGATTAATTGGTGATGCACTAGGTCTGCCTCAACACATACCGGTATCCAAGGAAAAACTGAGGGAATTGTTCCCTGAATGTTACTGCAGCCTCAGCTGGTATCTTAGATAACTGCCACTTTTCAACAATTCAGCTGTGCTTTTCTACAGATTGAATGCTTATTCAGAAGTCAAATACAGAAAGAAAATATTAGGTGGGTTTTTTCTATTTTTTTTCATTAATTCACAAACTAGCTTTGGATTCTATGAATGCACCACAACACTGAAGTGAATATACTTACATATATCCAGCACCCAGAGGGTTCACCACACCTTGGACATTAAGAGGGTGGGGTAACAGTCTTAGAAAACCAATTACTATTGAACAAGAGATCTTTCCTTACATTAACTCTGCTACTATAGCAATTTATAAGGCACAGATCCATGCAACAACATCATACCTGAAATGAAAGACCTTTCAAAACTTTTCTAATAAATTTTAATAGCTTTCTCCCCACCTGCACATTCTACACAGGACTAGATCTTACAATGTTGTTTTGCAACTAAAACAGATCTATGATCGTCCTGCTTGAACAACAAAGATAAGTCTCAAGTTAGTGCTGAACTCAAACCCAGATTTACTTAGAGAACTCTTCACTTAAGTTTTGCAAAAGAGCCCAACACCTAAATCCTACAGTAGTCCTTTTCTTACCTCCTTTATTTCTCCTTTGCTCACATCTCCTTAATTTGCAGTGTAGCTCTTTAGGGCTTGCCTAAGTTTGTTTTCAAGTAAGCACTCAGCTGTTAATTAAGAAGAATTTCTTTTCCTATGGCTTATCTTCACAAGGAATCACTACATCTACAGAGTTAAGAGCAACAGGAAAACTATGTATGCAGGACCATCCCCTGAGACCAGTGTAGGGGATGTGTCAGTGTTCCACAGAACACTGATCACATCAATGTGCCTTCTCCTTATGCACCAGTGGGGCACACACCAGTACTGACAGCCTTTGCATTCTATCTCATCTGCAGTCACACACACTGGCCTGGGCTGGTACTGGCAAACAAGTAAACTGTATGACAAATGGCCATATAAGTGGCCCAGGGTAGAGCAAGATCAGAAGAATGGAAGATGAAAATTAGGATACGAAAGTGCATTAATAAGGAATACAAAGATGTCTGTTTTGATGACAGAAAATGGACATTTGATTTCCATCTTAACTAGAGTGATGTAAACCCCTAGGTTTCTACTAACAGAAAAAAGCGAAGAGACTGGGACCTAGCACTGATTTTAAATATTCCTTTTTATTTAGTTTTTATCACGGTGAAACTTCCGTTCATTTCTACTCCTTGTTTAAGGATTTTTAAGTTCAGTTCTGAAGTCTGCCTTCAGCTGGAAACTTTTGAGTGAAGGAATGACTGGCACCCAGGGCCTGGCACCTTTCTGATGAGACCCTGTGGACCCACCCCACACACTTATACACACCAGGGACACACCGCACTCACGTACGGACACACGGACAGCACTTCAGGGACACACCGCATACACAGTGGTGCCTGGGGACAGTCACACACCCCTGCAGATTAAATACAAGCGAGGAGAAAAACGCCAAACCGATCGGGAAGAGACTCAAAAGCCACGGGCGGTCTCAGCCCAAGTTTGCAGGACGCTGCCCCAACTCCTGGGCCAAAGGCCCGAGGCCGCCTCAGCCTCGGCCAAGCAAGGCGGCGACACTACCGGCACACGGCAAGCAGAGTAGGAAACTGACAATAGCCAGTTCCCGCCAGACCATTCGCCGCTGCACAGCAGCCGCCCTCAGATTGAAGCTTCTCGGGCTGGAGGGGTCCAGGGAGGCCGCCCCAAGCCCGGGGCACCCGCCG